AAGGGCCTCCCGATGGGTCACTCGATGCGCTTCGTTTCTCCTCGCTTTTATTTGACACCTCAATTATGGCGCGATTGAATTCAGAGAAAGTGAAAGAAAAAGTGCACCCTAAAAAATAGGTTACATTTGTGAACTACCAACATGCTGTTTTTCTTCACAAAAAGTAGAAAAGTAACCAGATGAAGGTAACCTGGTGATCACATTAGTTCGCAGTTTATTCAAGAAAGCTGCTATTTTTCTTACCTCTGAAATAGCGTTTAGCGCATAATGGGTTTATTTCCAAACTTATCTACTAAAACTTCGTCAAAATCTTTTCTTTAATTTTTTTTGAAATACATATAAATTTTCTTCTTTGCAAGTTGCAATAAAATGTACATTTGCACATCCATTCATTATCATTACAAACAAATTTCTATCCATATTTTTGGAGCATAACATACTGAAAGCTTTCCCAACATAATTTTAACAAAAGGTTGCTTTTAGTCTTGACCCGCTTTTAAACATATAGTTAATCAGTTAGAGCTCTTGGCTACTATATGAAGTAACTACCGCAGTTGCTGGAAATACTCAAGCATCACCTGTGGAGTATGGAACTCAAATACTAGTTTAGTAGAGCTCTCTCAAACATAGTCGTTTTTATCTGAACTTTCTCCACTAGGCCAATTCAATTTCAACACAACTTTTCTCATCTCGTCGGTTTTCCTTAGCCAGTCAAATCATATTTTCCACTAATAGTCACTCGCACATTGTTGCTAGATGTATGTAGATTTTCTTTCTTTTTAGCTGCGATATGTATTTATAATTTTTAGGTTCCTGATTGCTGCATTTGAAGTGATTTATGCTCGAATGAATGCATTAGAAGAAGTTATCAGATGGAGCTTAGCGAGTGTGAATTTGATGAAAGAACCCATTAAAAATTTCGTTATTTTTCTCCCTGTCATTGGCGAAGTATGCCTTTGTAACACAGCTTATTAATGTAAACGATGCACAATGCGAGAAGGAGGTAAATCAGCAGCTCAACATTATAGGAATATACGTGAATTCTGTTAATTAGCTCTGTAAATTATATCGTTCCAGGGTCCTCTTAAATGCATGGCACATTCAAGAATTCAACACACGCTGCTGAGAACTATAGAGCGTGTTCTAGAAACTTTTTGGTTCAATCCCATAAGTAGCTATAGATATTGTTTTTGATTACTCCTAATAAATGTAATGTAATTTTCTTATGACTTTGCAGAAAAGGCAATTCAAACTAGAAAAAGGACAGATAATCTAGGGCTGATCGTTTCCATCTCATTGGATCCTTCATAGGCGGAAAATCATTTTCAGAGCTGTCTAAATGAAGTAAGTTATAGACTAGAGCTTAAGTAAGGGGATTAGAGGCCACATTTTATATTGGCTGAACCAGCAGATAGCTACTTCAAGCTGTGATTATATTCTAATTTTATCATTGTATTTCTCCTGATTCTGCAAAGAATAGGAATTTGAATTTCTATTTCAAATTTTTTTTCAAAATGAAAGCTGAACTTGATTGCCCTGAATCATTGATTCGAGAAATTGTTACACAATTTCGGCGACTGCATAATTTCGTCTGCCCGTGGGCACATTCCTCCAAAGGTCGCGCCTACGTACCCTCGGACAAAATTTCTGACACGCAGATATCTCGTAACAAACTTAGAAACAAGATTTTCTTGCGCCCGATGATGATTGCATCAATGTTGGGAGATGTTTACGAGAAGTCGGGTCAAACAATGATTCTTGTAAGGCTTCTCATCGAAAACTATTCGTATAGGAAAATTAGTGCACTCCTCTTATTTGCACAGTAGTAATCTATTAATAACCTTGCCTAGGTCTTCACCTCTTCAGTGTACGATTACAAAACCAGGCTCACTGCTTATGGTTACTACTCTCGAATCTGGTTTTTCTCCGTTCCACTGGCTGTTCCCGTGGTAAATCTATCGCTCGCCTAATAGCTGCTTATGTGAGATAGGAACAATCTATCAGTTCCCGCAATAGCCGACTTCACTGCCAAACTACCAGTATCTGTGTTGAGCGCTTATTTCCGTTGTGATCATTCCACCTCTTGGCAAGATTCCAAAGAATTGGTGCGCAGCTAGACAAAAACGAGAATGCACATTTAGAAAGAGATTTTCCTCAAAGCCAGAAAATGAACCGCAGAACATTACTCTGCATGCCAAACAAAGTATCATGCTTATTTATTATTCCTTCCAAAAGAAAATGTGCATTAGGAAACGTATAATTTTAAAATAAAGTTTAACAAGAAATCTTTTCAGAACTTGAGCATTTTGAAACTTTCACTAGCACATATATAGTCTTTGGTTCTAAATTGGAAACGAAAGACAGAAATAAATTTTACCATCAAACACAGATCGTCTAAGGACTTCAATTTATCCTTCTATTTTTTT